TTTGACTATTATAAGTCATGTACTTTGCAAAAGTTAAGAAATATTTAGTTTTTAAAACAGAAGTTTTAAAGAAAAGGAGGAAATTACCATAGTGTTGACCAACATTTTTTAAACCGTAAGTCGGCATCACACACGTATGCGAAAGGATTTTGAAAGCTGAAAAAGGTTGAAATCTCGTTTAGCAGTGTTAAATATTGCATCAAGATTTAATTTTTTACACAGCAAAAACAAGCATATCTGTCCCGTTAAAATACATTTTTTCATTTATGTTTATTTACTTGAAACAAATTCTGAAACTGCTTCTTTTTACATTTTTCTTGTTTATAAAAGAAATTATTTATGGAAAATTATTTTATATTTTATATGTGGGCTTCTGAAAAAAAAAAAAAAAATCTGAATAAAAAGGGTTAATGAATGAAAAAAGTAAGAAAATGCTGCTTTAGACCATGCAGTGACTTACCTGACTTGATTGCTTGTTACAAAGTTTATGCATCTAGAAAAATATAAAACGTGGTTAATTGGATATGAAGCAGTTTAGGGAGAAGATTGAAATAAATAAGAATAGTTTTTTTAAGAATATAATTGCATAATTTTAAATTTTAATTGTAGTTTTGCCCTTGTTGGCAAGCTTAGTAGTTCTTCTGTTGTGCTGATTAAAATTTCAGATACTTCAGTTGGTAGCAAAAACCACACATGCTATAACCACCACTAGAACTTATTAAAAGTTTTGCTTCCTATCCTAACCTCTTGCCATTTAATTTGCTGTTCATTATATGAAGAAGTGGGTGGAATACGGAATTGATACTTCTAACAAACACTTCGCAAGCATTGTGTTCTCCTTGTGCTGAAAGCTGATACGGTCAAACCTCACTGAACAAGTACATTCCATCACATAATGAGCAAAACAAAATGTGAGAACTCCCTTAATGAGTGCTTAATATTTTGCACAACATGCTGTGTCAAATGTGAAAAGTATTTGCATTTGGAACTCAAGACACTTCGTTCAATGTGCTGTTAAAATCTGTTGTTGAATTGTTGAATATTTTCATTATGTCTATAGTGCTAATAAAGAAAATAAAGAACCAATGCTAAGTAAAGGTGTACTTTTTTTTTTTCCTATGCTAATATATAATACGATTTTCTTATCCTATAAGAAATTTTATTTCATAAAAACATTCTGAGAAATTAAAAAGTGCGCACTCTTGTGTAACTCGTATGAGTGTCCGTGCTTCCGGGTTAAGGAGATGCCAGGATTGATGGATGAAGAAGAAGCATTCAAGGCAAGCTGAGGTAGTTTGAAAAGTTTAAGAGAACAAGCATTGTGAGGCATTGAGAAGCTGCAAGCTAGACATAAAGCCAACTGAGCAGTTCATTGGCATATTCAAGAAACTTGGGAGCTCTGAGGTCATCTACCACAGCAGGTTTTTGATGGTGATGAGATGTGTCTGTTCTGGAGAAAAGTGCCAAAGCTAACTTATATTGCATCAGGAGAAAAGGTATTTCTGGACCACAGGCCAATAAAAAACTTTCTCATGCTGTTGTTTTGTACAAAATGCAAGTGATGATTTGAAAATTAAATCCCTTTTGGTGGAAATTTTGAAACTCTACAAAATTATTAAATGGAGACTGTTATTGCAACCAAAAAATTATATTTAAGCATAACATTACTGTTAAAAAAAAGATACAATTACGTTACATAAGGTTTGGACGGAGGTAAATGCCAGTACGTACAACATCCATGACACCACGGCTCAAACTGATCTGCCCTGGACCTGTTTGGTTACCTCTACCAGTCTCTCTGATAGGTGGTGCCCTTTCTTGTTGTAACGAAAATGATACACCCTGCTTTTTTACCTTTCAGACAATCCCAAGCCTTAAAGAATATTATAGAGTACCGAACAGCAGGCTAAGTGCCATATGGAGGTTCAACAACAAGGCTTGGTGACAAGTTTTTGCAGATTCAATCAATGAAGTGTTTGGTCCATCTGGGCAATATATATACATAAAATTTTGCTTGTTATAGACAGTTTTTCTGCACATACTCCAGGACTAGAAGATGATATCCTTCAAGAATTTAAATTCATCAAGGTGCAGTTCCTGTCTCCTTTAACAGCAGCCCTGATCGACAAAGTATGGGGGGCAACCACCAAGGAAACCTTCTACATGAAAAAAAGTTTTGGTGTAGAGCTTGTTAATTGATGAAATTGTGTCTCTGGCCATGATTATGAAGCTAGAGATAGATCGATAGATACATGAGCTAATGGAAGAATCTAGCCAGGAGCTGAATACAGAACAGCATGTATTTGTATTGTAAGTTGAGACGCATCACCCTGATGAGGCAATAGCTATATGACCTACCAATTTATTTAACGAGAATAATATATTCGCAAAATTTTGAACCATAGGCCAAAAACAAATGTCTTTAGGCAATTTTCTTGTAAAAAAAGTTGTATTATAAATTTTTTTTTGACTATTTTTCAGAGTGGAATGCATTATCCTATTTTACATTGATTCCTATGAAAAAATTTGTTTTGCGTAATGAGTGTTCCACACTACAAGTGAGATTTGGGAACCAATTATACTAGTTGAGCGATGTTGCACTATTTTCTTAATGTGGTAATACAGTTATTGGCAAGAAATGTGTGCAGCGATGTTTTATCATTTTCCATCCCCCCCAAAAAAAACCAGAAAGAAGCCTACAGGAGTAGTTACGAATCAAAGCTGGAATTGATAGTCTTGACAGCATGCTGACTAAGAAAATTATTTCAGTATGTGGATGGCACTATGACTGAAAACCACTTGCCGTATCTTCGACAGGTTTATTTCATCTAGCCAGCTTCTTGCCGTCTTAGAGAATGTCGAAGATTTCTTAGAGTCTTTAACAATATTTCACAAAGAAATTTAAGAGCAACTGCAGAGGGCTTTAAAAAATCAGTTTATTTCCATCTCTGCATGTAGATTTAAATACCAACTTTTTTTTAAAGAAATAGTGGTGTTTTTGTATTTTGTATATTTTTTATTGCTTTTATCAATTATATCTTCTATAAACTTTATTTCATCTCCTAACCTTTTAATTTCACAATACTATAAGTGAAAAATTGTTTGTTTCATAAATTTTGGGTAGCGGTCTTTTTCATTATTCAGAAATGTAAATTTGGGGTCAGTTGATAAAAATATTTGCACTGTGAAGTTTCCTTTTAACATCATGGCCACTGGTAAAACATTAGTACTTGCTGTATTTATGTAGATTATAGAATTATGTAATATGTTTTGAGAAACTCATTTTGAGTTTAGAAGGCAGAAATTGTAACATACCACAATCTGCTAATTTTTATTTCAGTATTTACCGTATTTGATGGCATATAAGACACACTTTTTTTCCTAAATTTGGTCTCAAAAAAGTTACCTGCGTCTTATACGTGAAGGACGCAGGTTAACTTTCAATTCTGAATGTTATTTTTAGCCCGGATAAAGGTCTAGACACACATAACTTTTTCTACATCTGCCATAATTATTCTGCGCATGCATGAAATATCTGTCACTAAAAAGCGCCAAAGCTCGAAGCTGATGTCGAAGTTCGAACAGGTTCGACGGTCACAGTTACATCTATGGAGCCTTTTCCTTCTTTACAGAGACTTTCTTTGACTCAGCCGACACATACGTGTCGGTATTAGGTGCTACTCTGTATAAATGAGTTGGTATCAGGTGCTTAAAACTGTTTGTTTAAAAAAAATACCCTGTTTAAATGTGACTACAGGAAACAAGAAGATTAAGCTATACAATTCATTATGAACTAGGCGTGTTAAACTATGCCAAAGTGCATGGAAACAGAGTAGCAGCAAGGCATTTCGGTCCACCACCTACCGAAAAAAGGATACGTACTTGGCGACTGCAGGAAGATCAACTGAAGACTGCTAAAAAACAAAAACATAACCTTCGATGCCCAGCTCCATCTTGGCCTGAACTTGAAAATGCCGTAAAAATGTGGGTGATAGATAAGAGGAAATCTGATATAAGTACTTCAACCAAAATGATAATCAATGAGGCCAAAGGATTTGCAGAAAAATATGGGAATCAAAACTTTTCAGGGTCTGAGGGCTGGTGCTATAGGTTCATGAAAAGGTAAGGCTTATCAATGTGCACAAAAACAGGTATTGCACAGAAAATGCCAGCAGATTATGAAGAAACAATACTAGCATTTCATAGGTTTGCTTTACAATGTACACGAGAAAACTTCTTTTGAGCTCGGGTCAAATAGAAAATATGGATGATAATTTCCACTCACATTTGATATACCATCCAACAAGACTGTGAGTATTAAAGGGTCTAAATCAATAACCATAAAAAATACAGGTCTTGAAAAACCCAATATACGGTAATTCTAACGTGCTGATGGCACAAAACTACCACCGTTTTTCATATTCAAAAGAAAAACTCATCCAAAAGGAAAATTTCCAACGGGTGTAATTGCTGTTTGTTAATTTTCCTTAATAAAAATATGTTTGGTAATTGCATTCAACGATTGTTTATTTGGCTTTTACGAAACGTGAGAACTAAAAGAAACCACATTTTAAGTTATTGTGAGCGCGCAGACTATTGAAACTTTTTTCCTTGTGTGTGGCCTTCTAAATAAGGGTGTGTCTTATATGCCAGTGCGTTTAATATGACATCAAATACGGTACTATCAAAAGTAACATAAATCAAGTTTGCTTTAATTACATTTGCTGTGATATTTGTATTGTGATCATGTAAAGAACTCGTGATCTTACTAGTATGGTTTCCTTTACCTCTCTTTGCTTTGATTTCAAGATTGTGTGTAAGTATCTTGATGTTCATGAAACTTATTACTATATTTTGTATTTAAAGTGCACTCAAAAGTTTCACACAAATGGGTATTAAAAAATTTAAAATTGAATCATTTAAATTGTGATTTTTGCTTAATTTACAAACTGGCAGTTGTAAAATGTTTTGCTAAGCTTTTTAATTTTTACTATTTCTAGGTCTGTTGTATCTTGATGAAAAAAATTTATTAGAAATTATAGAAAAATGTAAAGAAGAACAAAATTTTTCTTTATTGATACGGACACTTGGGCAAGTATTTTCTTCTGAAGAATCTCTTAAACGAAGTTTTAAGAAAGATATTACCAAAGACAATCTTTCCAAAGAAGATATAAGAGCTATGGAAGTGGATGAAGACAAAGACAAAGATTCATCCAAAGAAGGGGGGGCTGATGAACAGGATGCTGATAAAAAGCCTCCAGTTGTAACGGTGGACATTGCATCTGTACGACGAGCATTTTCTGCTCTTTTTAAAATACCAGATTATCCTTTCCAGAGAGCACTAATCAATGCTCTCATCATCTTATCGGAAAATCTTGAATTTGACTTTAAATATGGTAATAAACAGTCTGTAGATCCAAGTCTCTTAAATATTTTTGTTATTGTTATGGAAATCCCAATGATGGAGTGCCCAGAATATATGGAAGCTGCTTTACCAGCCTTCTGCAAAGCAGCTGCTCTCCTTCCAGTACGTAGTCAAGCTGTTTTGGCTCGAACGTGGAGTACTTTTGGTGCAGAGCGTTTAAAGGAAATGTTAGACACTTTACATCAATTTATAACACTAAGAGTCATTGTAGGGCAGTTTTCTAGAGAATATTTCATCAATGATGAAGAATCAGTTATTGCTGCAACTAAACTTATGAAAATTCTTTTTTATGCTAGCCTTCTTGGAGGGGTTGTGGAAGATCCAGAACTCACTAATGAGGATGAAGACATAGGTGAAACAGATGAAAACTTGCATGATCTTTTGGGAGCCAGAGCTGGTCCTGAATCTAAAGATAGTCAAAAGACAAAAGAAGATCCTCTTGGCATTGAACTTAACATTAAACCCATTGACTGTAGGTCACCTGTACTTCCATTTGAAGAATTTTATAATGAACCATTGAGTGATCAACTTGAAATGGATAGAGATTTTGCATATTATAAAACAGAAGGTGGAAAATTTTCATTTATGAACTATTCATTTATTCTAACTCCTGCAGTTAAAGCTTTAGGTCTGTATTATGACAATAGGATACGTATGTACAGTGAGCGCAGAATATCTGTATTGCAGAGTCTTGTTCATGGAGCCCCTCCAAATCCTTACTTACGGCTACGAGTTAGAAGAGATCATATCATTGATGATGCACTCGTTGGGGTGAGTATTTTTTATGTTTTATATTCTTTTTAAATGTCAAATATATACATATTATTATGGTTCTGGTTTGATACACTGAAAATCTTTCCCTCTTTCTTTCGTAATGATGTGTCTACGTCTATCTGATTAAATTGTTTAAATCGTCTATGTCTATCTGATTAAGTTGTCTACGACTATCTGATTAAAACATAAAATTTTCAAATTTGAGTGAAATAAAAAAAGGCTAATTTTTCAAATATTGCCTCTATTCAAATGTGTTCAAATTCAAATGTATAAACTGTATTCAAATGAAGAGAAGCTGACTTGATTGCCTATTTTTGCTCTTTAGGGATAGACTATATTGGGCTTTACTTTCTTTTCCTTTATTATACTAATGCTTGTTTATATGCTTTACAAGTAATTACAAATGATTCATTGGGTTTTGGATGAATGTAGTTGACAAAGTAATACATAAAAAAAAGTAATACAGTACAAAGTCTGTAATCTGGACTCGTCGGGACTTCGGTGATTCCGGATTAGGATTTTTTCCGGATTGTAGATCATCAGTTTAAATCTGGTAAGATTGCATGCAGAAATTATACAATTAAAAATATCAAACTGTAATTTATGAAATAGAGAACAATTATGATCTAAAGGGTATCAAAATTTACAAAAAAAGCTTAATATTTATTTGTTTACTTTATTAAATATTTCTTTCAATGAAAGTTATTTAAGTTGCTTCCACAAAAAATTCAAAAAGTTCCTTTTTCTTTTTCCTTATACAGTTGACTTTCCAATGTCATACTCCTCACATAATTTTGAGACTGATATGCCTTTATCCATTTTTTGTAGCAATTCCACTTTTTGTTTGATGGACATCGAAACATGCTTTCGCTTTGTAGAATCTTTGGCAGCTCCAGAATTGGAAACTCTTTGACATAATCGAAAGTTCAAGTTTAATTTTTATAAAATTGCTCTAACAGTCTGCAAAAAATAATACTCCAGATCCAATTAGAAGATTAAGGAACAGCACAGTCTGCAACATTAACTGAAACGTCTTAGAATCAGTAAAGATAATTTTAGCGTAGCTTATACCAGTCCGTTATACATTAAACGTGCATGCATAAAGCATACCAAAAAAAAAAAAAAAAAGTTTGTGGCTTTGAGGTTCGGATAATGGACCTCTGAATTACGGACTTTGTACTGCATTAAACAAAAATACATTGTATGAAAAGCACTTTTTTCAAGTTTTCTACACATCATTACAAGTGTTCTGTGTGCTCTCCTCATTTTATACGGCAAACATCTTAGCGATATTTAAATTCGACCCTTACTCGTTTGAACATGTTTTTGTCAATGTTCACCAACGCAGCAGTGATGCGATCCTGGATGCCTATTTTACGACAACTGGTCCAATCTACTATTTGAGCAAACAATATTAACTATATAAAAAAAAAAAAAAAGAAAAAAGAAAAAAAAAAAAGCTGTATGGACAGCCGTCTTCAACTTAGCGGAGAAAGCCCTTCTGTGGTCCTTAGTTGATGGGCGGGTGGGTTCATTTGACTTCGACAGGGGACAAAACTTCAAGGAGCATTAGACCAATCACAGTGCAGACGAGTGATGAAATTTATAGCGTATGCTGGCTGAAGTTCTAGAAATATTCTCCCATTATTTCACTAACTCACACGCTGCATTTGTAGTTTGAAAAAAATGGCACAAAGCATTATTATGACCAAAATGCAGCAGATTATGCTGCTGTGTTATATGGAGGAAAATCCTTTTTTTTTTAGAGAAAAGTTAACATAGGAATTTAGGCTAAGAAATAAAGAGAGATGTAGGATACCATGAAAGCAGCAATAAATAGATAGCAGTACATTAATTAAGCTTACTTAAAATCTTTTTAGAAATAAACAATATTTAAATTTATAATATGATTAATTTGCATTGTAATTTAATTGCAAACTAAGTTTTTTTTATTTATTATTTTTTTCCCCCATGCTAACATTTTTACAGTTAATATTAGAAAAATACTTCATTAAGTAAAAAATTGGAAAGAAAATATTTATTTCTTAATGTTTCTTCCTTTCTTTTATTTTCTCTTTCTATGAAAATTATTTCTTTAAGGAAAGGAAATAAAATTCATTCATTCATTACAGTATGACCAATTGCTGCTGCATTCAGCTATCGCACGTGTATCAAAATATTTTATTTTAAATAAGTTATCCTATAATTAACATGACAAAAAATAATTTTTCAATATAAAATACGTAATCAAAATGATAATAATCTATTCTGTATGTGTAATTAAATTGTATTGCAATTTTTGTCATACATATATTAGTAATACTTTTTTTTACTATTACTTTACTGTTATTTTAATTTCTTATACATTGCTGGCCACCCAAATTGAAACACCAAGACAGACAAGAGATATCACAACAAAATTTATTTAGTAGATAACATGTTGACCAAGTATCAAATGATTAAATTTACAGACTTCCGTGAAGTGTGGTTCCGTCCAGACTCAGTAGCCAGAGTAGCCGCCATTGTTGGAGATCACTGCTGCCACATGCCTCGTCATTGATTCAAAAAGACTTTGGATGTATTCTTGGGGTGCATCAGACCAAGCAGCTTCCACACGTTGCCAAAGTTGATCTGGTGTGGCAGCTTGGATGTAATCTGGGTCATTTGTCCAGCCATGGACCACACGTTTTCTATCGGCGAAAGATCCGCTGAGTGAGCCGGCTAGGGAAGCAAATCAATCTAACGATTGACGAAGAACTCTTAGACAATGCGTGCCTTGTGTGGTCGCTCATTATCCTGTTGAAATATGGCTGTGGGCAAGCCCAGAAGGTAAGAAAGGACAACTGGCTCCAACACCTCGGAGATGTAGCGCTGGCTGTTTAAAGTACCAGCAATGCATATTAGAGGAGTGCGAGAGTGATATCCCAATACTGCCCATACCATAATACCCCGTGCAGGACCAGTATGGCGGTGCATAACGCAGTGGCGGTGTTCAGCATCTTCTCTCCACGGTATCTCCAGACTTGAATCCGACCGTCGTAGTGTTGCAGACAGAAGCATTACTCCTCAGTAAAGATAATTTCATTCCATTCTACTGTCCACATCCTTCTTTCATTGCACCATTGGCGGTGGAGACATCTGTGGTTCTGCGTCAAGGGTAGACGAAGCAATGGACGTCTTGCAGACAGACCACTCTGCTGTAAACGGTGTCGAATGGTACGCGCAGGCACTGGATGATGCGTTACAGACTGAATGTGTTGTGCTGTGGTTCGTGATGTGACTGAGCAATCCGTCACTACCATGCGCACAATGTTCCTGTCACAGGGTTGCCACGCTACCTGGAGAACCGGGAAAAGTCAGGGAATTCGAAAATTGACCAAAAAATTCAGGGAAAAGTCAGGGAATTTAAGTATTTTTGGCAAAATCTGGAAAAGTCAGGGAAGTTCATACAATGATCCCGCCAAAAAAAGCGATTTTTGCGCCGACGTCGGAAGAGATAACTTTTTTGGCGAATTGTGTATCACGTGAGTGTCATTCGGGCAGCTGGCATAGAGCCAATTTTCGCAGCTCCAATTTGATTGTCTTTTTAGAAAGGCAAAGCAAGTTTCCCGCAACTTTTGGTTTCCAGTAACCTCGAGAATCGCATGTGCAGTGCATGAACTAAAGAAAGTACCTGTTCTCGTATAAAACAAAATGGGTTTAATCCTAGTATAGGGTACCATGAAGGTTAGAATTTAAAAAAATATGTATTATAAAGAAGGAAAACCTCTCTGCAACAGACGTGGCTCGGTTCCATCATAGCAGGAAACAGCTGTGCATGCGTGATATATCTGTCGCCAAAGCTCGAAACCGGTGTCAAAGTTCGAAAGTCACGTTATCAAGAGTTCATTAAATGAATATCCTTTAAAATTTCTTTAACCACTTGCGCTAAAAAGACGTGCCACGCACGTCGAGATGTTTTTGTCTCAAACTGCGAGCGACGTGAACACCACGTCGATAAGCATTTATCGCAAAAATGAAAATAACATGGTGCACACGTCGCCTAACAACGAGATTGTTTATTTCTCGAGTTACAGCTCTGGATTGCACTCGCAGATGCGGAGCGGCGTAAATGAGACACTTTACCGCTTGCTATATTGTAGCGCACGGCACCGCAACCGTTAAGTTTAGTCTTAGCGCAAGTGGTTAAACTCTGAAGGAAAAGAAAATATTTTTTGGCGCAAGTAAATTAATTCATGGGTTAGTAATTTTCAGGGGGGGTGAAAAACTACGAAAATCCGTTTTTAAAATTATTGCGAAAAATCTAAGAAGAAACGTCCTTTGATATAACCTTTCTTCTTGGATTTTTCGCAGCTTTCTTTTTGTCAAAGAACGTTTCTTCTTAACACGTTTCTCAATTTCCGGTACACATCGCGGAGAGGGAAATTCTGGCCGCCAGGTTCCGTCGCCAAATCCCTTGGCATATTTTCCCTCCGCATTCTAGCGGCGTAATAGCATTTTACTTGTATGGAACCTTTTCTTCTTTACATAGACCATAGAATTAGAGATTCTTTGCATAGACGTTCTTTGGTTAGAATAATCTCCATGTATGGTACAATGGGATTTGGCGACATGATGATGCGCAGTAAACGGGTCATTTGGTCTTGGCGACAATTTTTCAAAATCGTGCCAAAGCCTTACCGTATACTAGAATTTTACCGCAAAATCTTTTTAAACTTTTTTTTTTTTTTTAATAAATACCTTGCCATTTTGCAGTAAAATAAAAAATAGTAATCTGTCATCTAGGCCTAACCATGTAATATAACTATATTTGCTAAAATATCGTTGATTATTCTAATTCAATTTTTAAGTAATTATCTTTATTTTTATGTTATTCGTATATTTAAATGATGCTTCTTCCCTCTAAATTTATTTATTAATTAGTAAATAATATTTCCAAATTTCAGGAAATTTTCTCTGGCATAATCTTGAAATTAATTCTAGCAGTATGATGACATACCATCACGAAATTTAATGCACATATTTTTTCCTTATGTATGCTGCGAAATAAATATAAAA